AGTTAGTATATAAATAATAATAATAATAATAATAATAATAATAATAATAATAATAATTAAAGTGCGGGCGATTTTTACGGGTTGCGGGTTTAACTCGCGACCCGCCTGCAACCTGCAAATTCGTCATATTGCAAATCGTATCCACCCGCATTATGTTTGTGAAACCGTCCATTTATATGCGGGTTGAGCGGGTTGGGCGGTTTGGATAGACCGTTGCCCATCCCTTTTTAACTCATTTTTTAAAGAAGACCTTAGTCTAACTCGCTAGTAAATAAATAAATAAAATATAACAAATTAAAAAATATATATTTTTGTAAGAATCTAAATTTTATATTTATTAATTTTATTAAAATTTACATATAATTAAATTTATTTAATTTTTTTAAAATTTACAAACAAATTTTTTAAATTTATAATGATATTAATAAATTTATTTAAAAAATATAATATATGATCAAATTTAATTATTGAATATTTTTTATAAAATAATATATAACTCAATAAATAAATTTAAGATTTTTAATTATCTTTCAATTAAAATTTGAACAAATATAGAGGTGCAACATTAAATAAACAAAATTTCTAATGTGGGGTCGGCCAGACAGACTTAGGCTTATTTTGGGAAGATAGTAAAAAGTGATTTTTTGACTTTTAATCAAATTTTTGATTTTTTAGACAAATAATTTGAAAAGTTGGTAAAAAGTGACTTTTGACTTTTTTCATTAATATTTGTTTATAATGTCAAATCATAATGAAATGACCAAAGTATCCCTAACCAATTGAAAAATTACACATTTTTACCCTTTCATTTTCCATCTATGGAGAGTAATTTCGTAATTTTTCTTTTGACTTATAACCAACATCCCAAATCAATTTATAACCCAAACAAAATCACTTTTGAAAAATGTTTGAGGGCCACAAAAACAGTGGCTCAAATGGCTCAAAATTGCCAAAACGACGTCGTTTTGACAGGTTTTAATTCTAAAACGACGTCGTTTTAACAGTTTTGAACCATTTGAACCACTATTTTTGTAACCCTATACCATTGCTCATCACTTTTTGCGTTTTAAAACGCTACTTATAACCAACATCTCAAATTGAGCCTGAGGCTATAATTAGAGCAACCCTTATGTAGAACCCCGTTTTCCGCAACGTGACAAAACTGCCCCTCAACGTACTCCCGTACATATACGACACGTTCAATCTAATGATGAGCGGCCCCCGATTACGAGCAATTATTCAGGGTTTGGGCAACATAGTAAAAAATTAATTTTTTAATTTTTTAAAATTATATTATCTTCCAATTTTTTTTATATAAAAAAATTATAAAATTATAAAAAAAAAAATTAAAGAGTTAATTTTTTTACCAATTTTTCAAAATAACACTCAATGTCCAAAGTATTTACGTGGGGATGCCACAAATCAATGGAATTAGAGATGCTGTTAATTTAAATCTTTTATATTACTATAAGATTTGCTGTGTGGGTTTCTCAGTAATTATACTGTGTTTGGTATCATTTTTTTGAATTTAATTTTTTAAAAATTGAGTTTTTTATTTTTCGTATTTTTTTATTTTTAGTAAATATTTTTTAAATTTTAAGTAATTTTTTACTTTTTTAGATGCACTTTACTTAGATATATCTAAATAGTAAAATATTTGTGAAAAAATATTTTAAAAAATTAATAAATACACAAAAATATGAAAATGTACTAAATTTTTTGTTTTTTTTTTATATTTTTGATATTTAGTGCATTTTTTTTAAAAAAGATTTCACAAATATTATACTTTTTAAGTGTGGTTATGCTAGGTGTGTCAAAAAAAAAAATTGCTTAAAAATTAAAAAATTCATTGAAAACATTAAAATACAAAAAATAAAAAAAGTAAAACTTTCTGAAAACTATTTTATGAAAACTTGAACCAAACAAGCTTTATATATTTGTGTGTTTTTTTTTTCATTACAAAGTGTGCATAGCTTTATTTTTAGGAGATGTACCACTATTGTTGTTGATTAGGTCATTCATATAAAATATTAAATTAATTAAACATCTGTAATTACGTAATAAGAGAACATTAATTTTTTTAAAAAAATAGTTAACTTTATCTTTATAATATTTTTAAAATAATTAGTATTTAATCATGAAGTTATAGATTTTTGATTAATTTAATTTTTTATATGAATAATATATTCAATAAATCTTACAATATTAACAGTTTAGATTATCAAAAAAACTCAAAAAAAGCTTCCACTGGAGCACCACAGGAGATTGTTGTGATTTGCTCACAGTAGTATCCGTAATTTCCAAATCAATCTCAGTCATTCATTGGTGTGGGTCCCACGGCGGGTTTCACACCAATGAATGATTGAAATTAATTTGTAGCATTACCACATGGAACATGGAATAATTTTTCTTGAGAAATTATTGGTTTGTTTTGGGTTACCGCCAAGTGATGCCAAATGGTGTTATGACTAGGGAAGGAAGTGGGGTGTATGATTTTGTATAGATGATTGGAAAATAAGAGAGGGCATGATAGATTGTGATTGGTGAAGGACATCGTCATGCGGTGTCTTAGAAGCAGTAAATTTTTCTCGATTACAATAAACACTGGTGCCGTTTGGTAACACTTACGGTTTCAGTTTTCTGTTTATATTTACAAAAATTTAAAAAACTCAAATAAAAACTTGTTTGGTAAATTTTTTGATTTGTAAATCAGTGGTCTCAGTTTATAAATTTGGCCAAAAAATGTAAACTCAAAAAATGTGTTTCCGTTTTCAGTTTTCAGTTTTTTTTTTTTACCACCCAACACTAGCCACCACTCGCCACCATTTTCCACCATCGTCTTTCGCCACTACCACCCATCCCCTATCACCACCTGTTACCACCACTCACCACCCACTTGCCACCACCACACACCACCCACCACCACCACCCACCTGCCACCCACTCACCACCCACTCGCCACCACTACCACTCACCACCCACCTGCCACTACCATCCACCGCCCGCCACCACCACTTATCACCCACCTGCCACCACTAGCCACCTTGTAACAACCCTCACTTCAACTTAGTCATACTTGTATACATTTATGCATGATCTTGTTTTGTTATGTGCATTTGCATATCTTGTCTTGTTTTGTTCGAGTGTTACTTGCATGCTTTGTTCTTGCCTGGTGTGTTGTCGAGGTCATCTTAAGTCTAGACACCTTGGAACCTTTCTACACTTAGAACTATCTTGTAACCACTTCGGTTGACCTCCATCTCTACCTTGGCATATTTGCCGAGATGTCTCTATCTAGGCCGAGGTGTTCAGCACCAAGGCCGAGATGTGTATCACCTAGGCCGAAATGTTTATCCTTGCATCCTAGTGATTTTGTTCCTGGAATGGTATGACCTAGACCGAGGTGTGGCACATCTAGGCCAAGGTGTGGTACAGCTTAGTCAAGTGTTGTCCTTCCAAGCCGATGTCATTGTCACCCTACTTGCCGAAGCTTTGCCCTTAGCCGAGATCATCACTTGCCAGAGTACTCTTGCCGTCTAGCTTGTTGAACACACTTTGTCATAGTCTTGTCTTGTCAAGTCTGTCACCTTTTTTAGTAGAGCCAATCAGCCGATGCCACGTGTCCCATCAGAGGGTTAAGTCAGTGACTGTCGAGAAAACATATCATTTTGTATCAAATCTTGTCTTTTAGAGAGAGAGGCTCTAAGAAGGAAAATGATAAGTTTTGAGTAAGAGAGAGTGAACTTCCAAGCTTGATCGTTAGAGCTTGAACCGTTAGATTCGAGTTTTGAGGTTAGAATCTTAACCTACTCTTGTTGTTCTTATTGATCATCTAGCTGCATTGCACGGTCAAACCTTCTCATAAATAAACGTATTTATTTGAGTCATATCAACTTTTTATTTTTTTTATACATCTTTGTATGAAAAATTAAAAAGTATACTTGGTTAAATCATTTCACATAACTCCTAAATAATGTGAGTTTTATCATACAAATAATTAAATCTGGGCCCATACTATTTTTCTTGATATTTTTTTAACATTGCTTGTCTTTTATTTGTGTGATAAATAAAAGAAAAGAGTCAATCTTTTTATTTTATTTTATTTATTTATTTTTCGTTTACAAGGGGTAAGAGAAAAATATGGGAACCTACACTAAAGTTACAACTATAAAGATCAAATCTATAATTTTTTTTTTCATTGTAGTTTGGTTTGTTTATTAATTATTTTTTAATAAGCTTTTTTTTTTTATAAAAAAATAAATAAAAATTGAGTCAATATTTTTTACCTTTTAGGTTTGTCTATACTAGACGACTTTAACATTTAATATTGAAAAAAATACATTAAAACCAAAAATTCTAAATAAAAAAAGAAAAAAATAATTTAGAGTTGTGAGTTCGAATCCAAACTCTTAAATTTACAGATAATAATGTGAATTATTCCTTGCAATGGGTGACAAAATAATTGTTTTAAGGGTTATGATAATGACTGTGCTAAGAGTTGTTAATAAATCACAAAATTTTACAAAAAATATAATTTTAACTCAAATTTTACATATTCCATAATATTTCTACATTACTCTAATGCATTTTTTACATTTTTTTTAACACTATGGTACTATCATTAGCATTTTCTTTTGAGTAATGTCAGAGAGCTTAGAAAATTTATTAAAATTTTATCAAATATATAAATGTTTAATAGAAATTTTGATAAATTTTGTGAGATCTTAACATTTCATTTTCTTTCTTTTTTTGCTTTTCTAATTTTAGGAGAATCCTATTATACACATCTAATACCCCATATATATATTTAATTAATTCATTTTCTTTCTTAGTTATGATATAATTATAAAATTTTGCTTATAAATTTTTTGTATTTGATTATGATTTTTTAAAATTAAAATTCAAAATATATAAAATTATATTATTTTTTCAGATAATTATAAAATATATATATGATACACACTTTTACCATAGTCTTCCCCCTAATTCTAACAGTGAAGTACTCCCTCCGTGGGATCTATCTTTGCCTGTAAGTAGTAGAAACCTTTTCCAAACACTTCTCTCTCCGTCTCCAACAACGCCACGGCTTCTCCGAACCCACACAAGAAAAAAACCCTCCTTTGTTATCTCCAAATACCTTTCACTGTTCGGTGGCCTAAAACCAAAACTGTCTTTTTGGAATGGTCATGTTCGACACTTGTCTTCGTCGTCGTCATCATCATTAGCAATGGACTTGAAGAAACTCGCTTTTTCAGATCAGTTTCCGTACTGTTCATCGCCTGGAAGAAGGAAGATCGTTTCTGGGTTTGGTTTAGGGGTTGTGGTCTCTCTCATTGTTCTCAGTCTTGTACTCTTCAATGTCTCTGTTCATGCCCCTTTCTTCCCCCCAGTGTTTCAAGTCTCTTGGCCTTTCTCTTTTTCATCCACTGCAAGTTCTAGTTCTGCTTCTGGGGGATTGCAGAGCTCTGTGGATGATTTGAAACAGAGAGTTGGAGGGGGAAGGGTTGTAGATAAAACCCATGAAGCAAATTCATCTGTGATTACTGAAAATGGAAGTTTTGTGGGCTCCAATGGGGAAAGTGTAGGTTTGGAGGAGACCCATGTGTCTTCTTCTTCTGAAAGATTGCAGAATTCTGTGGATTTGAAACGAAGTGTTGGAGAAGGAAGGGTTGGAGATCAAACCCATCAAGCAGATGTGTCGGTGATTACACAAAATGGAAATAATGCGAGTTTGGAGAAGACCCATGTGGGGAATTTCTCTGAGAAGGTAAAAAATGGAAGCGTCAATGGAGATTTTGTTGCGGGGAAGAGTGTTATTGGAGAGAATGTAGGTTTTACAGATAATTCCAGTACTGGAAAGTTGATGTCATCTGAGAAAACTAATAGTATCAATGTCACTGGCTCTGTTTCTCAATCTATGGAAGGGCACAGTGGTTTTAAAGGAAAATGTGATTTGTTTGATGGAAGATGGGTGAGAGATGATGCAAAGCCATATTATCCTGGGGGTTCTTGCCCTTACATTGATAGGGATTTTGATTGTCATCTTAATAGGAGGCCTGATGATGGGTTTTTGAAATGGAAATGGCAACCATATGGTTGTGACATCCCAAGGTCAGATCTGTTTAAATGCTTTGGGTGGCTTTGTTGTATATGCATGTATGTTTAGTTATATAGAATTTTGAATTTCATTTGGATAAATTGAAAATTGAGTGTGATAGTATGGTTGGATGATCTTTAACAGCCATTTTGAGTTTCGCCTTGGCACAATGGTAAGGTTGCTTCATTGCGATTTGGACATCATGGGTTCAATCAAACCATGAATCAACCATTCCGCAAGTGTGATAAGGCTGCGTACATCTAATTATTCCTAACCCCGATGCTAGCGAGAGGCCCTAAATAGAATAGTTGAATTGATTGTATATAGGGGACCTTTGTGGAGGTGTCATAGAAATTTAATTATATATCCTGCATGCTGAACTTGGTGAGGGAAAACTCACCATGCTTGTCCTCCTATAGGAAGTCAACCAAACCAAACCAAATTAACTCGTGTCCCAATTAAGTGGGTTGGGTTTTAAATTAAATAAATTCATATCTTTTTTACTCATCCATATCAGTTTAGGTCTTGTCCTCCCCCAAGCATTTTTATTTGTGGTAATCATATCACTCTTCTCACCATTGCATTTATAGATCAAATAGGAAGTCAATGTAACAACTAAAATTCTATATAAAGGTTATGCTCTAGAGGAACAGGAAAAAGACAAAATAAGTGTAGAATCCAACACACTTCATTAGTTTGATTGATAACATTTTTCACTCATTTTAAAACACTTTCTAACTTTTTCATCATTTCCAAAACACTTTTTACACTAATCTCAATATTAAACAATGCATAGGAAAACTTGTTAGCATTTGCCTTTATCTAATAGCTTTCCTCAATCACCACCATTGTTTAAAAATGAACTCTCTCTCTCTCTCTAAATAGGTGAGTATTAAAAAAAATTTCAACAAAAGTTTGGGTGGGTGGGTGGCGTGGGGGGTCATACCCAACTACAAGACACAATCTTAGATGAACAAAAAAACAAAGGATATTCCCTGAAAACAGAACACAAACAAAATTCATCCTCAAACAGAATTCCTACAGTTTACAAAACCTGGGACTACTTATGTGGCTAGCTTCCACTGGATTCATAAACCTCCAATTTCTGCTTGTGACATTGTTAGCATTGGAATTTGTCATGGCTTTGTTGACATGAATAGTATTTTCCACTTAATTGCCAGCCTTTGTGTGGATTTTTCTGAAGGTTTGAATTACCCAATGAGGATTTTTTTAATATTCCGTTGATGAACGATGTTATCCTCAGTTTGAACGCGACTGATTTTCTGGAAAGACTCAGAGGGAAGAAGCTGGTTTTTGTGGGCGATTCGCTTAATAGGAACATGTGGGAGTCTCTTGTTTGCATCCTCCGTCAGAGTATCCGTAACAAGAAGAGAGTTTACGAGATATCTGGAAGGCAAGACTTCAAAAAGAAGGGTTTCTATGCATTCAGATTCGAGGCAAGCTTCCCAAACTTGTTTTGACAATCATGTGAAAACATCTATTTTATATGTTCTCCAACTAAATACATTGCTTTTTCTGTATTTGTAGGATTATAACTGTACTGTGGATTTTGTTAGCGCTCCATTTCTTGTCAGAGAATCATCTTTTAATGGTAGAAATGGTTCTATTGAGACGCTACGATTGGATTTGATGGACAAGACAACCTTGATGTATCATGATGCTGATATTGTAGTCTTCAATACGGGCCATTGGTGGACTCATGAGAAAACCTCCAGAGGGTAATTTATGTCATTTTGCTTAGTGAATACTTTTGTTTAGGGCTCTATAGGTCTTAGTCTTCGTTTGGTAAATATTTTGGGACTAAAAAAGCACAAAAAGACAAAATAGGTTGTATAAGCCAACAAGACAAAATGTCACATCCAAACTATAATCATTACATTTTTTCTCTCACAAAAGTCAAAAAAGCCCAAAAACAAAAACCAAACGAGGCTAAAAAAGTCTCAACACAAAAAAGTTAGCTACCGTAGCCAATGTCAAATGAAGCTTTAAGCCCTTGTGTTTTCTTAACTTGAATTCATTTATCTGTCACTATCTCATAACATAATAGGGAAGTGAAAGAAAAAGAAGAAAGGAAACAAAATATAAGTTGGAAAAGAAACAGCTGTCCACTTGGTTCAAAAGTTTTAAATCTATTTGTTTTAAATTTTGTGCATCGGTGTTTTTACAGAGAAGATTATTACCAGGAAGGTAACCATATATACCCAAGACTCAAGGTCCTAGAAGCATACAAGAGGGCAATCACCACTTGGGCCAGATGGGTTGATAAGAATATAGACGGAAGCAGAACTCAGGTTATCTTTAGAGGATATTCCGTCACGCATTTCAGGTATAGCATTTATGTTTTGGCCTCTTGTTTTGCGTTTAGATGCTCTGCATATTCGTCTGTTCGTCATTCTTGAATCTCATGCTGTCTATGGAAATTTGGAGTATTTAATATATAAATATGTTGTGTTAAGATAGGCTGATTGAGTATACTTCCTTCAACTTTTATATTTCAAATCAAGTACCGCCTTTTTTCTAGTCATTCATTTCTGGTCAATGCAAGAAAAATCGTTGAAGTTATTCTAAGTGAACATATGTGAAATACAATAGTCAAACCTTCATAGTTTAAATTTTAAAGCCTGGCAGTATTCTAAATCAATTTTGCCTTATAAAACTGAAGAGAATTGTCATTCCAGCTACATCGACTCCACAGCACTAACTGATAAAAATCCAAAAACTGGGTCAGATTGTGAGAACCATGCCACTTAGAGAAACACACTATTGGGCTGTTTTTTGAGCCCATGCAATAGAGATCACCATCTAGAATTTTTGGCTGGTTCCCTGGTTAATTTTAAAGAACATTGACAATGTTTGTACACTAGTTTGTAGTTTTGACTTTAGTAGAATAAAAAATTAAATTGATTCCACTCTAAAATCCCAACAAAAGTAGAAAAATGAATATAATTGAAAAATGCCAATAGAACAACTCAAAATTTATTGAAGAAGAAAATAAAAAGGCTGATCCAAACAGGGAAATTAATTTTTGCAAAACGTTCATTAGATCATTTCAGTACGAATATCCCAAACAGAGTTTTTGATCTGTCATTGATGATATAAATGCTCTCAGATATATAATCTGTGTCTAGATTTTTTTATTCTCTTGGCACTCCTCCTCTGTCCCTTTTCTTGGATGCTCCATTATAGTTTCCCCTTGGATTTGTAATTTGGAAAGCTATTTGTTCTTTATAACATGAATCACAATTTGGAAAAATAGAAAGAGAGGCGTTTTGAAAGTGTTTTGATGTGGTTGCAGTGGAGGACAGTGGAACTCAGGAGGGCAGTGCCACAAAGAAACCGAGCCAATCTTCAACGAAACATACCTAGCGAAATACCCATCAAAGATGAGAGCTTTAGAGTATGTGATTCAAGAAATGAAAACTCCTGTAATATATCTCAACATAAGTAGGCTTACCGATTACAGAAAAGACGGCCACCCTTCAATTTACAGAAAAGAATACAAGACAGTTGAAGAACAGATTGCTGCTGCTCAGTCTCAAGATTGCAGCCATTGGTGTTTACCGGGAGTACCGGACACTTGGAATGAGTTGCTTTATGCTTCTCTCTTGCAAGCTGGTAAACGTTCTTGGAGAAGATGATTTGAAAATTCACAAAAAATCAAATGTGACATAATAATAAGCTCTTTATTTTCATGTTCAAATTCCTTGTCTTTTTCTTCTGTCAGATGTGAGGTTGCACAAACGCAAGTGTAGTTGGTTGAGTTCTAGCTTATACAAATTCAGAATTTGTAGAGTCATGACATTGATGTGTATATTTTTACATTTTTGGTTGTTGTGGATGGAATAAGATTGAGTTAATTTACTAAAGCATGACAAAAATAAATAATTGTTTTCACTTCTAGATTGACAATGGTGGTGCGGCTGTCTATGAACGCATACTAAAATCCTCCTTCACAATTCTTTGTTGAAGAAAATATTGTATTTGATTTTAACACACAAACTGGTTTGCCCCATGCATCAAAGGAATTGATTGGAATGGGTCCTATCATGTTTATTTCTTCTCTCTTATGATTTTGCATTCGATAGGCTATCCGATAGTAAAGAGTGGGCAGCATAGGTGGTACTGACTTGGGCACCAATTTGGAGTTGGAGTTTATGGGCTCTAATTGGACTGACTTTCTAATGAAACTGAGACACACACCTTTGGCTATGCTATCTACATTATTGTATCCACTCATAAGAGAATATCTGGGTGAGAATAATTATTCATAGCTGTGAAATTTGCTACACGATTCATCTCTGGAATCAGAAACAAAAAGGGTATAGAACTAAATATTGCATGATTGGCAAAGGCCCATTTGTCACAGAGGTGATTTGGTCAGTAGTAGTAACATAATAGGCATTGACATTGCTAATAACTCTCGAGCTTACCATACTAAGTGGGTAAATGTGTGAAACTTGCATAACATACCTAGTCGCCGCTTTGTGCATGAAGGAACTTTTTTCAAGACATACCTAACAATTGCCAATATTGCACGACACACAATAAATTAAGATTATAGAAACAAAAATTCAGAAATAAAATCAACTTTTAAGGACAAAATATTTTAGTTGCCAAAAATGACATTATTATATTTTTAACAACAAAATTTGACATTTAGTGACGAATTCTTAGACCAAAATTTTGGTCTCAAAAGGTAAATTTCGTTGACACTAAACTATTTTGTCCCTAAATATGCATTTATTAGCAATATTTTTAAATGTACATAATGTCAAAAGGAGGTGCATCATATGCCCAATTATAACATTTTTAAATGTATATAACTGTTTTTCTTATAAAACTTTAATTTAGAAAACATGCATCAAGATGTTAAATACCAACAGGTATATAACCACTAATAAGTGCACCAAGCATTCATTATCCAAATAGAATGTGAATTATCTTCCATTCTTATCATTATCATTATTATAGAACAACGACATATAAACAGAATTTTAATATAACAACAGCGCTATATACCCCCAGTGGGGGTCGCGCCCCCAGTGACGTGGCGCGCCCCCACTGGCTGAAAACTTAAAAAAAAAAAAAAAAAAAAAAAAACAGTTTTTTTTTTCGGACCAATCCGGGGCCGACACCTCACTGGGGGTCGACCCCCAGTGGGGGTATGAAGCATAAATCTTTAACATAAATTGTTGTGGTTGTTTGTGATCCTTTTGCTTCTTATCAAAACACCCATCATTATAACATTTAATTTTATAATTGTCATTATCACATCATTTTAAATAAATTTGTTGTACAAAAATTATGTGTATAACTACTTTTTCTTTATGGGTTAATTAACTTTTTAGCCTCCAAATTGATCACCACTAAAGCAAGTGCCTGGCTGGTTGAACATAAATAACGCATAATAGCAAACATCCTTAGATTAATTTAAGAGGGCTACTATTAGCACATTCTTTTCTTCTTTGGACTCCCCCACTTCTTTGAACCCCCAACCAGCTAAATGAGGCCCTTCTATTTTCATTTTGAACCCCCACCTTAATTCCAACTATACCCTCACTCTAACCCACCTTCCCAATCCAACCACTGCTAGCTCCAGCCACAACTTCCACTGTTGGCGCCACTCTCCGGTTAACTCCAAACCAAAGCCACTTTTTGGTCAACTTCATCATGACCCCCACAGTCGACCACTCCTAGCAGCTTCAGACAACCTCAATCTAGAGCCATCACCGTGAGCCATCGTCACGAGCCCTCTCTCACTCTCTCTCGCCACTATTGCCTTGCCATTATCGTCGGTCGCTGCTCATCCTAACTCAAATCGCGACGGCAACGAAGGCGACTAGGGTTTGAGGCCATAGATCGAGACGACAGCTAGGGTTTAAGGTCACAAATCGCGATGGCAGCTAGGGTTGAGATCTCAGATCGCGACGACAATAGAGGTAGCTAGGGTTTGAGGTCACAGATCATCGTCCCTGTCACCATCACGCCTCCAAACCCTATCTACCTAACCAAGCGCAGAGAGAGAGAGAGAGAGAGAGAGAGAGAGAGAGATTGCAATGGCGGTGGGGTTCGCGATTGGTAGGGGTGGAGATCGCGATTGCAGTGGAGATCGCAATTTCAAAAGAATAAGAAAAGGGAGACGGAGGTGGTGACTGGCGATGAGGGGCTAGCCGGTGGAGGTGGTAGCTGGAGTTGAGAGGGATTAGGGTTAGGGTTAGGGTTAGGGTTTGAAAAATTAGGATTAGAAGATGAGGGATGAGGGTAAAAGTGAAATTTTATGTTGGGATAAAATTGAAAATAAAAAAAAATGGCAGAAATGGGGGTCCAAAGGAAAAAGGTAAGTGCTCATAGCAGTGCTCTGATTTGACTTTTCAAAACAAACAACACAAAACACATTTATACCTTATTTAATAGAGCTAGTTTGGCATACGAGTTTTTAGGGTTTTTTTTTTATTAAAATAGTTACAAAATGCAAAATAAGTTAAAAAGTCAATAAGATAAAATTTTACATCTAAATCATAATTATTTTATTTTATTTTCTAAAGTCATCAAAGTCAAAAAGTCTATTCTAAACGAGACTTTTTAGTCACAAACTAAAATAACTAAAAAATTAAAAAATCAACTCACATCCCAAACGAAGCCTGATATTATCCATCTCATTATTTAAGCATATCTTAATTGGGTTGGGTCAAAAGATAATGGGAGAGGAATGTTGTTGCTCAACTAAATTAATAAGATAACAATTATATTATAATCAACACACCCTCCAAGTTGATTTCACTTTCCATTTTTGTCTCAAGAAAAAAATATTCTTTCTCCAAAATTGGCTATACAATTTCGTTTTGTGGGTCATTCTCAGTTGCATATAAAAATATACCTTAATACTAATTACAAGATTCTTTATATAATTGAGTACACTCCACTTAACTGGAAAATGGTTATAATTTTGAGTAAAATACAAAAGCTTTACTTCAAATTTGATAAAAATATTTTAAAAATCAGATGACTTAAAAAAAAAAACTAAAAATCACTTTAGGATTCGAGGTCAAATTACAATAAATCATAAATCATTAAAAAACCATCAAGATTAAGGACGGTTAATTTGACGTTAACAAATGCCAAACAAAAACCAATATATTTTTGTAAAAGAAAAATTGCATTTCAGTTGGACACACGAGAATGCTGCAGCTTACAGTAGTCACAGAACACAGTATCCTTTCTTGCAGAATGGGAAAAAGATAGTGACAAACCAATTCTATCTCGAGAAGGAGCAAAAATTAATGCTAAACAGTCTCCGGTAGCCGGTGGTAACATAGCAGAACGACAACTCTCCACACCTCACCCATCTTGGCTCTAAGCCTCAATTGTCTTGGCTCTTAAATTAGGGTCACCACAATCAACCCCCCTAAAAGGCCACATGTCCCGATGTAAGACCTACTCAAGTGCGTCAAGCTCTTCAACCTTGTCCCCTGTGGAACCCACCTGCGCAGGCCAAACTGCCATGCTGGCTAGGACATGGGAATGCCACGCTACCTAGGCCGCTCGCAAGCTAGGCTGCTATGTTGCCAAGGCTACGGGCCTGACATGCTGCTAAGGCCGCACGCAAGCCAGGCAACCATGCTGGCTAGGCTGCGGGCATTCTATGTTGCCCAGGCCGCATGCAAGACATGCTGGCATGCTGCAGAGTGATCTTATTTTTATGATAGTGTAACTGTTTTTTGTGTGTCACGCTTCCACCAAAAAAAAATCCTACCTATAATGCAATTATTTTAGGACTGTCCAATTTATTAACAATTTCTATTTTTTTTCTCTTTTTATTTATTTTTTGTATGTACAACAAATGCCACAACTAATAAAACTATGGCATAAAACTACATTGAGTGCTCGTTTGGCTAACAATTTGAGACTAAACAAGTACAAAAGACAAAATAAACTATGTAAGTCAATAAGACAAAATATCACTTTTTATCTATAATCATTATATTTTTTCTCTCACAAAAGTCAAAAAAAGTCCCAAAATAAAAATCAAAAGAGGCTAAAAAAGTCTCAGACTAAAAAAATTAACTATATTAACCAATACCAAACGACTTCGAATTGTGTATTAGACTAAACAAATTTTGTATAAATAGTAATGCGAAGGTATGAATTTATTTTAGACTAGAATAATCAGCGTATCAATAATCTTGACCCTTTTGACTTATTGTAGATCTTTGTCAACTGAAGTCATCCAATTAGACTCTGCCACATAGTCCAATTTCATTCTCTTTTGGCTGCTTAAAGCCGAAGCCAGTAAACAAGCACTAGACTAGCATTTTTCTTTTTTTTTAAAAGAACATGATTAGCATTTTTCGTATTGTTCTTCTTTACTATGATTAGCATTTTTCTTATTGTTCTTCTTTACTAGGCACGTAATTATTTCTCCACAAATAAGAAATATAAGAAAGTCATGGACTCGAATCTGTAAGGACAAATAATTAAATTTCATTTATCACTCTCTTTGATTAGTGTATATATATAAAGGCATTGTTCGGGAAGTGGGTTTGGGGTTAAAATAACCATAAAAAATAAAATAGGCTTTTTAATTTTAATAAGACAAAATATCACATTCAACTCATAATCATTACATTCTTTTTTCTCACAAAAAAGTCAAAAAAACCAAAAACTCTTCTCAAACCAGACTTTTTAATCCCAGACTAAAATAGTTAAAAAAATTAAAAAGTCAAAAAACCAGTCCACTTCCCAAACCAAGCCATAATGAGATATTAAGTACTCAAAGAATTAGTTGATGCAAAATTCTAAACATAATAATAATATTACATATAGTAGGTGTTTGGAAAGTTGTTATTTTAGTAGGCTATGCTAGTTTTTGGCTATTTTAGGAGGGTAAATTTTTTGTGTTTGGGAAGAAAATTGAATTTTTTTGTAGTTAGGTGTGATATTTGTGAGAGAAAAAATGAAATGATTATAAGTTTGATGTGACATTTTGTCTTATTAATTATTTTAGTCTATTTTATCTTTTAATACTATTTTAGTCAAATTTTTGGCTTAGACAATTGCACCACATTCATTAGAAACATCTCCTCCTTATATTGACAACTACATATATGAAAGTTCAAGATACATATAACAAGGGTATTTTCTAAAAACAAATAATTAATGTGCATATTTCTAATAGTCTTTTTGAGACATCACACCAATCTCATTGAAATTTAAAACCATCCCAATAATTGATTGACATACATATTGTAATTGTTTTCTATATTAGTAGATTTATTCACTTTTTCATACACAATATTATATTGAACAATAATATTATAAAGTTAGACTTGACTATTTATAAATTATTTAAAATTATCATCTTATAATCGATATTTATTTTATACATGAACTCTACACTTTCAGGATAATTTCGAAGAAGTTAAGGATAACTACCTAGAATTATTCAATACTAAACACACAATCCAATCACCACATGACATGTCAAATTATCATTGAGTTTTGTTACAAACTCTTTTTAATTGGAGTGTCAATTTCTTGAAGGGGGATTAACTCTTATCATCTTATCTGCATACAATTCAACTAGTAAATATTAAAATTTGTATAAAATGTGTTTCGAAAATGGTAGCAATTCAATATAATTTTTCTGTTGAGTTTTATGTATAAATTTTTTGGTAATAAAACATTTTCTTTTGACAATAGAGAAAAAAAATGTTGCAAATGCAACAAATGCAAAATTATATAAAATGTGTTTTGAAAATAGTAAAAAAAATTAATATCAATTAAAAGTGTTTTAAAATTAGTGAAAAGTTATTTATTTATTTCAAGTTTTGTTCTTTGCTTGTGTCGGAGATTCAAAAAATTTTAGAGTAATGATACAAAAATAAAAAATTTATACATAATTTTCACACATAATAATATATCTCATTATAAACCATTCACTTCAAAACAGAACAGCATTAAAGATACATTTACTTATAATAATAACATTGACATGCTATTCTTGTTAAGTATTTTTGTATAAATTTACGAATATAATTTTTTATCTAATAATACAAACATATTTTGTATACAAAATTTTTAATATAAAATGACATAATAATTTTTGTGATCTTTTCATTTTTAGCCAATTCATAATTCCAACCATATCATTTCTACATTGATATATATCTATAGCAATGATATATATCCATACTTTCATATCCACAATGGTATGCTAAGAAAAGATGGGTTCCAAGTATAACAAATCAAAAATCCATATATAAATTGGAAAATTTTATTTGTAAATACTTTTAGTTGCCTAAAAACATCACATAATTAGTGTCATTTTGGGAATATGGTAAAAAGTCACGTTTTTTGACAAAATGTCCAAAAACGTGGCTTCCAAAAACGCCAAAAAAGCCATTTGGCAAGTGCTAAAAACGCAGCCCTAAAATTACAAATTAGGGCCTATGAAAAATAAATAAAAAAATAACTCTCTTATGTTGGGTAAGGGTATTTTGGTCATTTTAATTTGATTTGACACCATAAATAAATATTAAACTAAAAAGTAAAATATTTTGTATACAAAATTTTTAATATAAAATGACATAATAATTTTTGTGATCTTTTCACTTTTAGCCAATTCATAATTCCAACCATATCATTTCTACATTGACATATATCTATAGCAATGATATAAAGCAATGATATATATCCATACTTTCATATCCACAATGGTATGCTAAGAAAAGATGGGTTCCAAGTATAACAAATCAAAAATCCATATATAAATTGGAAAATTTTATTTGTAAATACTTTTAGTTGCTTAAAAACATCACATAATTAGTGTCATTTTGGGAATATGGTAAAAAGTCACGTTTTTTGACAAAATGTCCAAAAACGTGGCTTCCAAAAATGCCAAAAAAGTCATTTGGCAAGTGCTAAAAACGCAGCCCTAAAATTACAAATTAGGGCTTATGAAAAATAAATAAAAAAATAACTCTCTTATGTTGGGTAAGGGTATTTTGGTCATTTTAATTTGATTTGACACCATAAATAAATATTAAACTAAAAAACAAAAAGCTAACTTTTTACCAACTTCCCAAATCACTTCTAAAAAAGCCAAAAAGCTTGGTAAAAAGCCAAAAATCAACTTTTTACCAACTTCTCAAAACAATGCTTGTATCTCTCCATGTATCTCTCCATGTGCATTCATACTTCTTTTGTAAGTCTAAATTCGAATTCATATAATTAATTCGAACGATTTATTTGTAAGTCCCATAATAAAGGTCATTCATGTAAAAAAATTAATTTTATCGAACATTTATAAATCATAAACTTAATTAATTCATTTTATAAAATAAAACTTGATTTATTTTTATATTTATAATTGTTTAATAAATTAATTTTTTTTTTGTATAAATAACTTTTATTGTAAAATTTATAAAATAAATAATTTAAATTATCAAAATAAATTCAAATTGAGCTCATAATAAAAATATAAATAAATATGAAAAGATAAAATATGGAGGAGAACTTACCCGAATGTGAAGAACACAACTAGTAAGGGAAGAAGGAGGGGTGCCTTCAGCATCTCCTTATTTGTGCGCTGAAAACAATCTCGCATTTCCACTCCAATTCCTACTGCTGCTCTTCTGTCTCTCCTTACTCCACTTCAGTTCCAACCTAATCTCTCTCTCTCTCTCTCTCTCTCTCCATATATATATATATATGTATATATTTGTAACTGTAATACAACTAACACAGATTGCTGTTGTTTGAGTCGGAGAATTTCCCGTAATTCTGTTGGATCTTTGTAGAAGAAGATACTGTCATCATGGACGAAATGTACGGTCTCAATCCGACGACGAATGACTTCGCGGACAAGGCCTTAATGTCGCCGGAGAATCTGTTGATCATACCGGCGGAGTATCAGCCTTTCCTCTCCTCCGGCGCCGATCACCACCGGATGATTCCGATGATGTTCGGATCGGACGAGTTGATCTCGGTGGCCTCAGCGATATCTGAAACCGCCTCGATCACGCCTGGATTCGGACGAAGCCATGATGATATGTCGAGCGCGATGATTAAGGCCAAAATCGCTTCTCATCCTTGTTATCCCAAGTTACTCCAAGCTTACATCGATTGCCAGAAGGTTGCTTTGAAATTCAAAGTCCTTTAATCGATCGCTTTGAAACTTTTAAGTGCTTTTAGTATTGTGTAGTGATTGAAGTGTTACTCGTGATTTTTATTTTTTTTTGTGGTGATTTATGCTTTGAATTCTGATGAAAACTAAGGTTTTGTTTTTGAAAATTTTGAGTTGCCTGTCAATATTTTGATTTTCCGGGAAATTGTTATAAGAGTTTCTATTTAAGTCACTTTTCCCAAGAAAATTTAGCTGTTTAAATACTGTAGATGTTTATTGGATTCTTTTTTCTCAGGTCGGAGCTCCTCCGGAGATAGCGTGGCTGTTAGACGAAATCCGGCGACAAAACGACTTTTCTCAGCGAAATTCAGTTTCCACGTGCTTAGCGGCTGATCCTGAGCTCGACGAGTTCATGGTCTGTGTGTGTGTGTGTGTGTGTCTACTTATATGAATTCCTTTGAATTCGTATGTTTTTTTTCTGACTCTCTTCGATCTTTCTCAGGAAACCTTCTGTGATATATTGGTGAAGTACAAGTCCGATCTCTCAAGGCCTTTTGATGAAGCAACTACTTTTTTGAACAAGATTGAAACGCAACTGAGCAATCTTTGCACAGGTCCGTTAATCTCTCTCTCTCTCTCTCTCTCTGATCATATGAATTATGCCGTTGTAGAATCAAAAATTTTTTTCTAATTTTTACATTCTGAAGATCATTATATGTTCTCTGCAAAACTGCATGGTAATGGATCCAGGAAATCTTTGTATATGGATCATGGTGCACGATAGCATAAATTGTGGCTCACGTTAGCATAAGAAAAATAATCATCGCTCTCTAGTCCTAGCATAGCAGTGTATGGTCGTGTCTCTTTTCTGTTTCTGAAAAGAAACCACTTATTGTAAACATCAACTACAGTAAGAATAATCAGAACTAGATCAAGAAGGGAAAATGAAAAGAGTTGTGGCGATAATAATAAAATAAAACATATTGAGAGCAAGCAACTGCAAAAACCCTAGAAATGAAAGGGACCTTTGTAGATAGCATTGTTGACCATTAACTCATAGCTTAAGTTGTTAGTGAGAAGAACAATTTTATTATATTATCAACAGGACCCTTTAAATGTGGTTGGTGAGATTTGAGCACCATTCATTGCTTACTTTGATATCGTATTGAATTGTTGATCATCAATTCATATAAAAGTTCAACTTATTATAGTGAGGGTTAACTTTATTATTTATGTTATATTTTTAGCACCACAATTTTTTTGACACCCTAAAACTTACCATCAAAATGGGCCCTTATCTTATAAAATTTCTAAAAAATTCAACTCTTGAAAATAAGAATTTTTGATGTTTTTTTTATCGGTATACTTTTAGCTACTTAGAGATAAGTTAAGTGACCTAATGGTTAAGCGATCTTTGATTATGAGTGACTGGTTCCTCACTAACATTGTCTTTGGCTTGAGTTTGTAAATCTGCAAATATTGTGTATTTTGATGGTGTATGTATATATTTAATCCCTCTTCCTTATTTGTTCAAGAACCTGTAGAACCTTAAAAAGTAAAGGGGGCTGCAGTCATGGACCTTTCAACCGTTCTAAACGTTTATTTCCTTTCTTTTCTTTTCTTTTTTATGTTGTTTCCCTCCTCTTTTTTGTTGTGTTTGTTTCCTTTATTTTCATTTTCTTTCCTGTGTGTAGAGAAAATTGATACTTGAAAGTGATTCTGATTTTGACATTTCAGAGAGTTCAGATGACGTGAAATTGTACTTTCAAGGAAGTGGTTTTTATTTATTTATATTTTTTGAGTGATGGTATTGGCACCATATTTTTGACTTCTCAAACTCCATTTTTTTAACTTCTCAAATTTGTGAATTATTTTCCCATAAAACCCCTGCTAATACAGAAACCTAGTTAAAGCTTCTCAGAGTGTACGTCCTTGAACATTCCAGCTGATTATGTGTTGAGAAAATTTGATCAACACGCTGGGGAGAGTATGAAAAAGGCTGTGGACATAGAAATTCTTCTTTGATCTTTGCTAGGATCACCATCTTAACACCCTCTGTCGTGTGTTTTGATTGAATGAACTATTTGTTAGATCGGTACTACAATATTTTCGAACTGGCATTCGAAATTCTATATGCCTCTCTATCCATCTAAGTTTTGAGTTTTAGATTATAAGGGGTACAATATATATCGTTAGGAGTATTTTACCAGATAGCTTCACCTTCTATCTGGCTGCCGAAGTGACATGGTTAGTCTCATTATTTTTTCCATCATCACATAATGAGAGAAATAGGGAAAACTAAATTGGGTTGCCAAAAACAAGTGTTAGTTAATGCTTTCTTGAATTCTGACTTCACTTAGAGGACTTGCCTATTGTCTTGCAATGTCATCTAGCATTCCAGTTTAGATGAATTTGATTTAAAAACTGACATGAAATTAAATTCTATATAGAGCGAACATGGCATTGGCTTGATATCATATTGTATAAAGTGAACGTGTGCCTGACTAATTGTTTAAATGCAATGGCAATGGACACTAATGGTTTGTAATGATGCCTAATTACTTTGAAGAGCTTCAAGTTCCAATAGAGCATGTATATGTATGCATGGGAATTTAAAACAGACATTGGGAAATGTCTGAGGGCTGACTGACTGGTCTGCATTTAAAGCAGTGCCTTCTCTCAAAGAAAAATTATTTTGAAAGATGTTTATGTAATTTCATAAAGAATGTACAATTATTTTAAATTTAATAACAAGTTCCCTAAACAAAATCTTTTCCAAATAAAAATGAGCCTCAACTGGAAAATACGGTTGAATTTTATCCTCAGGTCTCCTTGCCTAATAAAGCCTCAGCTGTAATTTTATTTTTATTTTTGTAAAATTTGTTAATTTGTATAGCATTTTCTTATCTGTATCTCACCACTGATCTCGCATCTGCTGCTATTTTGCTTAATTGACATTCATCAATGTCTACTTTTGCTGAATTCTGATAGGCTGTCATTGTCTACATTGTTCAACAATTTGCACTTGTTAATTCTGTTACTTTGTTCACTTTATTCCTTTTCAATCTACATATCTACAAATTCACTATAAAGCTGAGTCATCTTAAGCATCTCTATTGAATGGAAAAGCTGTTGTTGTCTCCATTGGTTTAGTAGCCTTAGATGTTCAAAGTTGCTGAATAAAATAATTTATTAATCGAAAAGTTTATTGATCATAGTTATCAGGTTTGGTTATGGCTGGCAACTATTGTTGTTTTTTTGCTTGGAAGTACAGGTTAACTTTTCTTTGATCTTACTATCATCTGTAGTTTTGCCCTTGTCTGTTCCCTTTGCTTTCTTTTATGATTATGCTAGTTCTTTCTAATCTCTTTTTCCCAGAACTTAGATTCTTTCGGTCACAGATGCATATGTCCACATAAACATAATATTAGCATAAATTCACGTGCTTGGATCATGTTAAGTTGCTTACATGTTTAATTGAATACTCTTCTCAGTTAGCTTTTTCTCTACTTCGTGGTATGTTGATGTTAAAAATATGTTAAAAAATGTATTTGTTGAGTCTTGTTGCTCTCTACATTAAAAAATGTATCTGTTACGAGTCTTGTTGCTCTCTATTTTTTTTACTGATAAAAAAAATGTTCAAAATATATTTAAAAAAAAAAAAAACAAGCTCATACAAAGAGATGTGATTGGCTAATTTGCAATTATAAACTATGGTGATGAGTTTTAGTGAGACACATAATTCTGTTTGACTTTTTAAATATAAACTATGTTTGTAAAGCATTCAGAATGCCCATTTTGTCCTTTGCTTCTAGATCAGACTCTATGGGATATATAGTTTTAGATCAGCCTCAATGAGATTTTATTGTACATTTACGTCTACAATGATTTTATCTACTGCATGCATTGTTAGGAGGATTAGTGAAATTGTTATGTCTTGGGAGCATTTATGTAAATGATCTGTATGAGAAGCAAGCCTTGATATCTACAATATTTTGTCTTACATTTCATGCATAATGGAACTTCATGCCTTGTCTCTACATTTTCTAGTAGCAAACCTAATGTAAACTCATCTTTGTTTGTCTTCTACTTGGGGCAATAACTAATCTGTGTTATGAGAAAGTTTGGCCACACTTTCATAGATTTTGTTCAATGAATTCTATCACCTGCCTACCTACCTACCATGAAAAAAAGAAAAGAGAAACTTTGTATGTAGGGTATGTTAGTTAGACAAGGGTTTTTGGGGTACTGACAACGTGTAATGCTTTGTTTGTGATCAAAATCGAGTGGCTATGTGATGGTTTTGAATCAGGGAGAGAGAAACCAGAGTAGGAGAGAGAGAGAGGGAGGGAGAAATGTATGAAGAACATTATGGGTGGGTTTGGGGGGATAAAAGTGGGGTCCTGAAACCTTTTTTGGAAAGCCCGGGTCGAGCGGGTGGTCGGAGTTCACATGGACTCCCGCGGTTTTCGCTGCCTGTCCAAAGCAGCTTTTCATGCCTTCAATTCATCTCTCTCTCTCTCTCTCTCTCTCTCTAAGCGCACACTCTTCTGCTTCTCTGTTTAGTGCTTGTCATTTTCTCACCCAAATTATTCAGTGTTTTTTAGGTCTATTTTGAGAAGTCACTTTTTAATTAAAGAGTAAAAAAATTATTAAAAAAATTGTTATTTTTTACATTATTATTTTTTTAAATTTTAAAAATTATTAAAAAAATCAATTGATAAAACAATGCTTACATTTATATTAGGTTAAGAAAAATATAAATGCTTGTAGAAATTGTGTAAAATTTATAATAAGAATAATGTGACAGTGGCATTAATGCAAATACTAGTCATTTTGATTGACTTTTTATTTTAAATAAAATGATTTGTAGAAAAAAAAAAAGTATACAAAAATTTATTCTGAATGATATATCAATATGATCGTGGTCGAATCACATTGCGTAACTATGGGAATGATGGTGGATATAAACTTATCCCTGAAAATTATATTTGTGTGTCACTATCCTCGTTTTAAAGTAATAAAATTTGAATTTATCTTTTATTCTATATTAATTTTGTAATTATATAACACTATTCTTAATCTAAATAATAAGGTCTAACATGACAATTAATAAAGCAAGTATGGGTCCAAAAACACTTTAAAAAAATAAAAAAAAAATTCGTATTTAGTTTTTTGTTTTTTTTAAGTTGTCCATTGTCCATGGGTTTTTGTGCCTCTATTTAACACGTGTCTATCTTCTAAGTGAGGGTTTTGGGCTGCAGTGCCCCCATAAGAGCACCTTCAAAGATAATATTTTTTTATTCAAAAAATAAATATAGAAGAGGTTGCTATTCATTTAAACTCTAACCATAAATCTTTATTTCCTTCATTCAAACTCTAATTAAAAAGTAATTTTTGTTTATTAATAAATATTTAATTTTAAAATTTTTGTAAAATATATTTAATATTATATTCATTTTAAAAGTATAATTTCATACTTTTTATTGATGTCAATTTTTTAAAAATTAAATTTACACATTAAAAGTTATTCCGAATATAATAAGAAATGTAGAGTGAATAATATTTTAGAGTCTCCTTCATTTTATTCATCCTCCCTTCATATTTAAAGGAT